TTATTTTTTGACAAGTGGGGCCTGAAAATTCGCCCAGCCTCTTAAGTGGGGAATGACACAAAATGTTTGAGAACCACTGTATTAAGGAACATGTCCACTAATGAGTCTGGCCTTTGTCCTTACAGTGATCATGGCCTTATTTTATCAAAATGTAAATCAGCAAGCTGGTGTGTATGTGTGGAGGTTATTTTGGGATGGAGGCCAAATGACTGTAAAATAGGGCAAGAATGTGAATTATGTGTTTTCCTGGGTGCTTTTTGAACACACATGCCTTTATTTTGCACTGTACTGATCAGTGTTTGCACACTTCTCCTAGTGTGTTTCACAGTGTGCCTTCATTTTTCTGGCCTTCTTCTCTCTGACAGCAGACAGAATTTTATGGTTCAGTTGTCATGACAAGTGTAAAGCAGTGATTTGAATGATCAAGGAGATGCAGTGGTTAGCACTGTCGCCTAACAAGAAGGTTGATCATGGCTGATGGCGGCCTGTCCTCCCGGTGCTCCAGCTTCCTCCCACAGTCCAGAGACATGCAGATTAGGTTGACTGATGACTCTAAATTGTACGTAGGTGTGAATGTGGTTTTCACACCAGTGTGATAATATCTACATAAAATGACAAAAATTACCTTTTCGAAAAATATATTTTTTTGTATTTTGAATTTTCATTTTGGCTCATGTCCCATCTGCTCACATGGTAGGGGCGGGGTTTATGACCTATATTGCAACTAGCCACCAGGGGGCGATCAATTAGTGGTTGCTTCACTTATGGAATCCTTCACATTGTTCATCTTTTTACATGTAAACAGTCTACACACTCTGTGATAGACTGGAGACCTGTTCGAAGTGTACCCTGCCTCTCACCTGGAGTCAGCTGTGACTGGCTTCACCCGCACAATGACCCTCTACAAGATAAGCGGTATAGGTAATGGATGGATGGATATGTGACTAGTGTTTAAATGTAGGTCATTATATTACAACTAGATTTATAACACCAGTGGAATAGTAGCCTAATGTAATGAAGGTATTTGGCACAATGAAGGCACAAAATGTCCTGTCCTGTCAGCCGGACACTGTTACCAGTAAGTCTGTGTGTGAGGAAGGTAAAAGGTTTGAGTCTTGTGATTGTGCTGGTCCTCACAGTTGTTTTAGATTTTCATATTCAGATTTGTTGACCCTTGTGAAACATACTGTACACACCAGCTTTTTTACAGCAATAGTATAATAAGACATTTCCCCCTCAGCATGATTATCACCAGTGCAGTTCGTTTCTTGTCAGAGGTTATAGTGAAGACCTCTGTTAATCCAGCCAGTTCAGCTCAGGTTAAATTAATGTGTCTTAGTTTGAAGGTCTTGTGACTGGTATCAAAATGCATTGTTCTTAATGAAACCTACTCAGTCATACTAAACACAGACTGACTACAATAGGAGTGGAAAACCTACCTAAACCTGACATGCATAAATACATTTTCACAAACAAAGTCCCACTCTGAAAAGGACCTAAATGATAATTGTCAGTATTAGACATAATGCCACCTGAGACCTGTAGACCAGGACCCTAGTCAGACATAATTTGGATCTGGTCCTACTTAAATTCAGAGCTAAGTCTGGGTTACTAGGAACTGAGCAGACCAGTGAAGACCTGTAGAGTAAAGATGTAACATCTATTGTTCATATCAGAATGTTCGCAGCTCCTGTCAGGTCCAGCCAAACATTAGCTCAGTCCAAAGACCTGCAGCACTCCTGGAACTGAGGCGGACTATACAAAGGAATGGACCTGAGACTCAGGTCTGCTCAGGTCCTCAGATTTTTGGGGGGTCATCATCACACGTGTGTAGGTGTAGGTGTTTTTGGAGCTTGCCCCATACAGTATTATAGGGACATAAAGTCTCTATATTTCTGCCTCTGTTATGTAAATCTGTCTCTTGTGAGTTCCCAGACTCTATGGAAGCACAATACAAAATTTGCTGGAATACCGCTTTGAATCAGTCTTGCTATTGACCCTTACTATGGACTAAATGTCAGGATATCTGGCTGTTTTTTAAGAGACTATGCTGAGACGGACAGGAAACAGACATAGGGGACTATGACGTGCAAAATTCACAATTTGGTTCAACTGCATATAACTTAAGTCCACACTACAGCCACAACAAGGCATGAGGAGGGGTCACTAGTATTGTTTTTAAATTACCACAAGCCAAGAATACTGGGAACCACTGCACTACTCTAAATAAATGTAGTAACTGAGGACTTTTTTCTGGTGGAGTCCCCCACTGTTGTCTGAGGAGCTTGTCCCAAATCATACAGTCACTATTGATTAGAAGAGGTATGTTGTTTCAGTCATGGTCTGAACAGGCGTAGCTGTTCTGTTTGGATATCTGCAGGATAATGAATTTCAGCTGGAATACCAAAGTCACTGAAAACCACACACACATACACGTGGAATACCAAAGTCACTGAAAACCACATACACATATGCAGGGTAACTGAGTGATACTGCAAGCCTTATTTGGGTATATTTATCTTTGAACAAGGCGAACAGTGCAGGCAAATGCACAGTTCAACAGAGCTGAGGAATGGTTTACTATTATCTTTCACACTTCTCAGAGGATATTTTATTTGCTTCACATCAGCACAGCTCATTATACAAAACTCACATTTATGTCACTTTTGTGTTTTGTGCTATTATTACATGTGTAAAGCTCATGTGGAGACATTTGAAAACCCATCTTTGTCTGCAAGTGGCCTCGGACCTACACCAAGCTGCCGTTTGTTGTCGTTCAGTTCAGTTTTGTTGTTTTATATTTTGTCAGTGTGTGTTGTCCAGTGTAGTTGTGTTTTCAGGGCTGCTGTACGTAGCTGATTAAAGTCGCTCATGAGCAGGAACACTTTTTGCTTGAGGACCCTTCAGATTTTGGAGCTGCAGTGTGTAGAATAGTAACACAAGATGTAATTCAGAAGAGGGTCGGACACACCCTGCAATAAATTCTTGGCAGTTGTTTTTCGAAGAGTCCCACATGGACGGGATTAATGTTTCAGAGCAGTACCTTCAATCATAGAAAGTATGTGAAAACAACTATCGAATAGCGGAACTTTCACCGTTTATAGCGAATTCATGGTATAAAACTTGTTCAGTGTTGGATCTACACATTTATGAGCAGATGTCACAAGTCAGCTCTTTAGTTTACTGGTCCGTTTCATCTTTGTCAGCTTATGAAATCTAAATGTGGGTACAGAAAAGGTAGAGATTGGTATGACCTATCAATCAAAGTGCCAATTTAGGGGTTTTCCCTTTCACCAAAATACAGAGTTTTCTTGAGCCAGAACCTTGTGGCCATGGCAAGAACTGCATTTTAATACTCATGCATTCTGACCTCTTCATTTGCCACTTAGCAACATCCCAGTAGTGGCTCGGAGGCATTCTTTCCCCCTGAATTAAGCTTTCCAGGATTCCTGGAACCCTCGTAGATGAATGTGTCACGATGGAGAAGGCACTTACTGCTGCCACGATCGACGCTCAAGGGTTGAACAAATTGGCCTCAAAGTTCAGGTCCTAGAATAGAGTGGTCAGCAGCTTCGTGGCATCCACTGGTAAAAACAAAAATTACAGGTACCAGCAGAGCACCTTATGCTAAACGCATCGACTTTGTGATGTTTGTGCAGAGTTATGTCTACAACCAACTCAGGGTCTCATTGAGATGATCTCATAGAGAACAAGACAACAAGACAATGTGACCTTAAATTGAACACACACACACACACACACACACACACAGTGACAGACAGGCACACACATACTGTACATTTTGAAACCGTGGCACACATACTGACAGGCTGCTGAGAGGCATCACTGGCAGCACCGATAAAGCAATGAGGCCATGTTGTTATATACTCTGTGTGTGTGTGTGTGTATACACATGTTTCTTACTTTACAGTTTTGGTTGATGCCTTTGTTGTGAGGACATTTTAGTCGGTTCTCACACCTTCAAAGGGCTTTTTGAGGGTTAAGACTTGATTTTAGAATCAGGTTTAGGTTTGGTATTAGGGTTGGGGGGTAGACTTTTATCAGTCTTGATGGTTAACAGGAGGATCAGAGACAAAGACTGAAGTGCAGATGTGTGTGTGTGTCAGAGTGGGAGTCTCAGCTGAATCATCACTTCATCATCACTATGTAGGAGTGATGAGAGACTTACAGGATGTGTTAGTACGATTCTTTGACATTATCTACTTTTCACTTAGCCCTGCCCATTTAGTTTCTCAAGCTTTCCAACTTAGCATTACACATGTGCAGTTTACAGTGGTAACTATGGCTGATTTACCACTGGAATTTTAGTGGTACAGTGGGTCCTTGACAGTTGCTGACAGTTTTAATTAGCTATAGGTGGTTGGAGACTGCACCTCCATCACATATTTTCTAAGGAGCACACCACCTTCTGCATTAGGAGGAATTATGGGAATAAAAAAATGGCAGAAAATAGAATAGTGTTTAGTGTCAAGTGTTTCCCATCTTTCAGAACAATAGAAATCCTGAAATCAAATGTAACATCCAGTGTGACTTAACAAGTTTAATCAGTGTGTCAGTGCAGAGATACTTTAGGTCCATGACATGTTCATACCAGGGAGAGTCTGGGTGCTGGAAGTGTAACGAGCTGCTACTTTGGACACAATAAAGCCACAAAATCATTAACAGCTGCTGCACACTTTTGCTCTTTTCTTAGTAAACCCAGCCTTAAATGTTTGTCTTTATGTATCTGTGCAGGTAGAAGAGGGCGGGAAGGCGGACACTTTGGACCAACCTCTTCAGGTGGGGGATGAGCTTGTCATCATTAATGACGTGGAGCTGACTGGATACCGACAGGAAGCCATTGCTCTGGTCAAAGGATCTTACAAGACGCTGCAGCTCACTGTCCGCAGGTACAGACGCTGTGTGTGCATGTGCGTCTACACGGGCCTAAGACTGAAGCCAAATCCTCTTTATTTTTATTAACAGCCAACCCAAGCCATCCAGAAACCTGATACTTTATCAGGAGCCATCAGGTTGAGGTCAGGTAACAGAACATCAGTGTGTGTGTGTGTGAGAGAGAGAGAGAGTAGATTGATGATGTTGGCTATGATATTTAGCAAAAAGGCAAAACACCTATTGAGAAAATATTTAGATTTTTTTGTATTCTAGTCAGTCATTTATTTCTGTCAATCAGCCAGAAATGTTCTAATAAACATTAGTCAGAGTCTGCTTTTCTCAGGCTACAAGCACATCTATGGTAATGTTAATCTAGGAATGTACTAAAACAGGCTTTCTGTTTTTCCACTGTTGTCAAATAGAGTGGTATGACTGAAAGCTTAAGAGGTCCCTTTCCCTCCTTCCTTACTTGCGTCCTTGCTGGCAACCAGTATAATCTGTAACTGATCAGGATTCTGCTGTACATCCTGGTTCATAGTACAAATCAGAGCTGACTCCCTGCAATAAACACACACACACACACACACACACACACACACACAGACAAACACTCTTCATTAGCAGTTATCAGTCATCATTCATTACTAGTGCTGTGATTGGTAATTACCTCTGTGTATGTATTATATAGTTTGCATTTACAGAGTAAAAGCAAACACACATCTGTGAAATTCTGAAGAAATTCTCTGTTTTCTTTACACAGTAGTGATACACTAAACAGAAAGGTAGTTAGGTTCACCTGTTACATACTGTGTCTGCAGATAAACAGCTGAACAGCTTTTAATCAACAAATTTACACTTTGTACATAATATGGAAATGCTAGCAAATGTTAGTGTCATGTGTTAGTAGCCTACTCTCCTCTGACAAAGTTTTAATTCTTAGCTGTGAGATATGAGTTCAGTGGAGTTTATTAAATAAAGGAAAACATGTACTAGGATCGAACATTAGAATGGAAACATTGGTGATGTTAGAGCAGATATGCAAACATGCAGATGCCACATCCAGCTTGTGAGTTGCACGTCTACCACATCTCTGCACATATACTGTACAAAGGTTTTAGGCACTTCAGGTGTTTAGATCCTGATCCATTACATACTGTAGTACCATCAGGGAGGCATGTGAATGGTCTTAAATTCATTCTGCAGCACGACAGTGAGCCAAAACATACACAGCCAGAGTCATAAAGAACTATGTCCAGAGACTAAAATCACAAGGAGTCCTGCATCAGAGGGTCTGGCCTTCATACAGTTCTGATCTCATCATCATGGAGTCAGTGTGGGATCACATGAGGGTACAAGAGACACAATGAAAGAAGTCGGTTCAATAAAAGTGGCATATTGTTTTAAAACCATCCTCACTTTTCTTTTAGTATCTAAAACCTTTACACAGCATTTTTACATATGACTTAAGATATCACTATATATATATTGCACTATAATTAAAATAGCGTTGTGAAGCCTACCAAAGCTGCTACCATTGAATAATATTACACTCTTACTATAGTGTTTGCTGTAATATGTGATGGGGAAGCTACCAATTACTTCACACTAGAAGAGGCTGATCTACAGCAAAGCTACTCTAGGGAGAAATCTAGCTTGGTTTGACTACAGCTGCTTAGAAAAAAATGTACATGTGATATGAAATTATAGCAAAATATAATATAAAACAGTCACATGCCAGCAAAAAAAGTCATTGAGTTGAATTTAATACCTGAAAAGGTGCTCACATGCAGCATGGTAAAATAAGAAAAAAATTAAAGGAGGAGATTGTTCTTTTCCTTTTTTGGCCCAAAATTGTTTGTAGTTTTAGTAGGTAACTACACAAAAAATGGCAAAAAAGTAGTGTAACTACTTGAATCACTATGCAAATATGAATGTAGTACAGTGTTTGTTAACACTGGTTGTAATTTTGTCATTTTTTATTAAATGTTCATTAATTTCCAAAATATCACCTAAGTTATATCATAGCAGCCAATTACAATGCAGTAAGAAAAAGAATATGCTTAGAAACTAATTAAGTACATGTAGGGTAATTTCATCTTACATATTACAGTTTGAAAGTATTAGTGGTACAGTCTACCAAAGTATTTGGGTATAAAACCCCACATTTTAAATTTTACCAGCTATTGGTAAAACTTAGGCAGCTTACATTATGATAATTATGACTGTGGATTGGTTTCCTGCCTTTATAGACATACAGGACATGCATTATGTGTACATTATGGAAACAGTGTTTATGCATCACCACAATAAACAGCAGCGGTCAGTGAAGTGTCAACCATCCCCTCAGTGAAGCACTGGGCTAGTGGCCAATCATCATGTCATGCACACTGGCCCATGAAGCATTTCTCCCATACCCAATCACTATGCTAGCTTCTTTTAGCCATTTTAGCTAGTATTCTTATCAGGTGTTAACAACAGGACATTAGATATAAATATACACTGTAGTTAGCTGAGAAGTGGACAGAAAACTATTAAATGAGTCAAATGGTCCCATGAAATGACTTTACAGAAGTCAGCCACTTGTGTTCAGTTTTGTAGAGATGGACACATATTTGCAAACAGAATCAATGGTTTAAGAGTGACTGGAAGAGTGGGATGCCTCCAGTGTGATTGCCTGAGGGTGTGTTATGTCTCCAAGTATCTCAGTATTCAGGTGGCTGCCTTGCCAGGTACAAACACAGGTATTTGGGTTTGGGGTGTGACTGTTAGCAATGCTGCTGTTGCTACTGTAATTTTTATTTACTGGGAGACGTCTGAGAGGCATGACACAATACAGGACTTTAGACTTTAGACATAAACACTCTCACACGTACACACACAATAGGGCAGAATCACACATGGCATTGTGGGAAGGTGTGCCAAGGAGGGAAGGTGTGAGAATTATGCTCCAGACAAGCAGAGAGCAGTAGTGTGTCTTTTGGTCTGATCTACTTTTCGTAGGGATCCGATGGGGAGCCGAGAGCGATCGACTGTTGTGAGGTCTGTTTTTATAAAAGTAGATACACAGTATGGCTTGTTGAATCCAGTGTGCTAATACTGCATGTATATTCTCTACTGTTCCTCTGAGCTTGCCCTGAGGCACGCTGGGAGATTAGAACAGTTGATCTTGGTTTCATGCCTTGGCCATGTGCAGTGGGCTGTGCAGCAGGTCAAACTCTGCAGTTGCATACCTGGACCTTTGGACTATAGTGTTCTGCTAGTGAAATCATTATCCCATGAACACTGGTTGCCAGGAAAGGCAGAGAACTGTCAGTAACTTGTGATGCTATTCTTCTTTATTCTTTTTCATTTCAAGCTTGTTATTTCATGCATGATGCACAAACTGGACTTGTCATACAGGGAGAAGCCAAGGAGCCAGTATGTGCTAATCTAGGAGGCAAATTAGGATACAGTTGCTGCTTTTTTGGACTGTTGATCTGTGATTGAGTGTGTCGTGGATAATTTAACCATACACAAAACAGGACTTTGATTGGATATTTCTTGCCAAAATGCACCTTGGGAGTCATAGGTTTCACTAAATGTTGAGCTGTGTTTTAAACAGTCAAGGGTTCCGTGATGAGTTGATGTCCTCTTTAAAAGAATATATTTATATGTCTTCCTCTCTATCTTATCTTTTCCTTCATCACTTCCTCCTCACACTCGTTCATCAGCTCTCATCTCGGCAGCTGCAAAGTAGCAGCCTCTCAGGGACAATAAAGAGGTGTTAGGTACTTTTATGGCTGGTTGTGTGCGTGTGTGTGTGTCCTCATTCTGTATGTCAGTTTGAGAGAAGGTGTGTGACTCTGAAACCAAACACACCTGTCTGTCCATTTGACTCTCTCTCCTCCATAGCTGCTGTGTTCCCTCTGATTGGTTTGTTCAGGTGAGCCCTGATTGGCTGAAAACAGAGAAGTAAAGTGACACAGAAACAGAGTCACAGGCAGTCAGAGAGGACAAACCATGCCATTAGTGTATTCATAACAGGCTGAAAACAAACCAGAGTGTGTTCTGAGGAGCTTCCCATCAAAGCTGTAAGTGTGTGTGTGTGTGCGCATGTGTGTGATTCTTAAATAGATTGAGAAAAATATGTAACAAAATTAAAGGGAGGTTGTGTGACATTAGAAACCTATACCAAACATGGCACTATTACTGATAAAATGTTCAACTAAACTACAAAAATAATAACCTCCAATCATTTTGAAATATCCTTTATTGATTCCTGAAAATGCTGCTGTTTAATGGTGTTAAAACCAAAAGCCAAAACTAATAGTAATACCTGCTAAAAGATAATACATGCTCAAATCCAGATTTATGAGCTCTGAACAGGTTTTGAGAGCGGATTTTGATCAGTTGAAAGTCAGCTGTTTTCTCCAACTGCTTCTGAGCGCTGGAGGCCTCGAGACAGGCTTCAGCAGCTCACTCCTAGCTCAGGCTGTTGGGCTGAGGCCTGTGGGCTGTTTGATCTGAAAAGGCACCAGTGAGAATGCAGTTTTTTTTACTAGTGACAATGTTGTGTGGTTCTCAGTGGATGTAGCCAATGTTTTTTTCCTGATATATAAAACATATATATTGGACAAAATATTGAGATAGACCTGGGTAAAATGACTCTTGTCTGCTGCTGTCTGTACCATCTAATAAATTAAGACAACATAAATCCTTGGTGTGAGATCTGTAGGATACCTACAGTAGTTGCTCAAAATTGTTGAAGTTTTATTCATTTATCAGCAGCGATAGCTCCCCATACATTGGTGTTTTTTTTTTTAGTATATGGGAATTGTTGTGACTTTCCTCCTTTAAATAACGACTCAATAGGTCGTTTGTGCCCACAGGTTATTATGACTAACAGATACTTGTTATTGTTTAATGACATCTAGCAACCATAGTAATTATGACATGAACAAAGGACAAAGTTAGGTGTTGTAGTATACAGAGGCAGAAAGTCATTGTTAGGAGGAGGCTGGATGGCTAGGTAAAT